GTCGGAGTGTTTCACCAGCAGGTGAATGTACATAAAGCAAAAAGGCCTTCCTTAATCAGCAATATTAATCAACTATAATGTAACATCCCACATTATATTACCTTTGGTCAAATTAACTTCACTCATATTTAACAAACACTAAAATTGCTATTAACGTATTTTAATCTGCATTAGTGAATTACCTGCCCAGCATGGGACTCAGAACCTGGCCTACAACCAAATCCACCATCAAAGTTCATACACGATAAAACAAATTCAATTGCCTTTTCCACATTAATAGCATCCAGCTTCCCCTATAAACAAACAAAAAACAATGCCTATTAAATTCCAGAGTAACCATGGGCACTAATTAATTCCAATACAATAGTCATAACTTACCAATAGAGCCAAAGTTGCCACAGCACAAAAAGAGAATCTTGTATCAATTTCTCCTAAAAATAAAAGGAATCAAACCAAAACTTAAGTGTTACTAAACGCTTCAGATCATAACATACACAAGTTATTCTGTACAATTACTATGGTTAAAACTTAAAATTTACTTGTAGGTCTCCAGAAGGAAAGCTAAATCTAAAGTGAAATCATTTTACTTCTAAGAAAACTAAGATCTAGAAAAATGCTTTGACAAAATACAGCAAATTATCTAGAGTTGTTTACACAGTACCCAGAGAGGGAAGGTAATAATTAACAGAGCCAAAAGGACTAGTTAGTTTCTAATAATAATGAACTTACCCTATTACATATAAGTAGATTTTCACATCCCATGAAGCAGCTGGTCTCTCCGGCCTGCACTGTATTCAGCCCTGAAGTAGAGATTATCTAATTTATCAAGTAAAATACTATTCCCTCCCTCCACTCAAATACTCAGTAAGTTTGTAAAGTTTTTATCATCTTTCCCCTGCCAGTAAGCAGTTTTTTAAGAACTTTACAAACCCACCAAATATTGGGGGGACAAAATTTCACCTACCTTATCTTTTAGACTGACCCCCTCTGTTCCAGCGCTCCTGTAGGCTGACATAACTAGCTCAGTGCATGCTGGAACTTCCAGCAGACTATTAAGTCCAGTTAGACCAGCTGCTTAGTGGGACCTGAAAAGATGAAAAGCTTTTTAAAAAACTTATATAAATTAGCAAAGTCTCCAATTAACTGTACTTAAAAATATGCAGCAAAGTTTATTACAATAAACACCAAAACATTTAAGATTGGTATATTTGGTAGAATGAATTAAAATGACATTACCCCAAATATCTCCAGCAAAAGAACCATCTTCTTTCTGTAGACTCTGAACATATTCCACAACTTTATTTACGTCAATAACATTAATACTATCATACAGAGTAAGAATCTGTAACCAAAAAAAGTTAAATAAATACATCTTCAACCCTAATTGA